GAACAGCGTTTGAGAAAGTTCTTCAAAATGCGTTGCTTCGAATTGAACCACATGTGTCTGTGTGGAGATCTCGAGTTGGACGAATTGTTCGATGGTGATGACATCAAAAATGCCATCAACTACACATACAACCGAAGAGATTCAACGCGTGGCAATGCAAATGCCATACGGAAATTGGAAATACTGTTGGCGGAGCTGTATTGGATAGGAGCACCTCACAGACCAGATGATCCACACCCATTCAACATCAGAGAATTCGTTGAACTCAATTGGTTCCAAGCATTGCGCATGTTCATTAATATACAGCGTGATATTCATAACTTTCACCTCGCGTTTGCCAATCTACGCCAAAGTTGGATTCTGTTCCGAAAACATCCGCTCTATGTGCAACAGCCAGAATTTCCAGAGCCGCCTGAAATCACCACCTTCACAGTCATTCCGAAGTGCACATTCCAGCGCCGACACGTGAAAATTGATACGGATTCATTGTACAACATTTTAAAGGGAATCAAGGCAATGCCGCGGACAAAAGGCACTCGAGTCTTACGAGACGGCGAATACCAAGAGCGCTGGATCTCACAAATTGAATTCAAGGAGAGAGGAGGCTGGCGTTTGTTTTTCAACATGGACGAAATTATCAAGCTGGTCAAGAATAAAAAGGAATTCGGCGATTCGATAATATCAGATGGTGTGTCAGCGTCGGTGTTATTCAAATTGCCGAAACAGAGCAAAACTGTTACTGATGAAGAAGAGGCCGAAACCAAACGCAAATATTTCGCAAACGAATTCGCGTATGCATTGGGAATTGATCCAGGCATGCGAACCTTTATTGCGTCGGTCCGCCTCGATCTAAAGACCGGCGAAGAGGTAAGTATTTACAAAACGAAAAAAGGAAGAAGAAGAAGAAGAAGAAGTATTAATTCACTTTTGTTGCATTTTATTTTTAGACCAACGAGAAGATTTCGTTCAAACAATACCATCTGAAATCGAAACAAGATGCGCGCAATATTAAAGCCGAACGAATGACACGAGTCTTCACGTATGACGAACAAGCAGACCTCAAACGTATCGCCGCAGAGATTGGACAGACACCATCGCCACGGAACATCTCTTGGCGTCATTACATCGAACATCGCCTGCGAATGTCCCAAGATGGTATCGCGGCATACAGTCAGAAAAACTATGCACGCTTACGTTTGGACAAACACATTGAATGGCGTCGTGCAATTGATCTCATCGCCGGTAAGCTGGTACATTTCAAGACAGCTATCATCAACATCGGAGCAGCCGAAATTTCACCAAATTGCCCGATCCGAATCAAAAAGTACGTGCGGTGTCCAGGCGTTCGCAAGCTGATTGCAGCCTTCAAAAGACGTGGCAATTGTGTCGTTCGGTTGGTGGATGAATACATGACATCGCAACATTGTGCCCGATGCTTCAAACGGTTCCCGATATGGACGAAGAGCAAACGATACAAGAAGTGCAACGATTGCCAACCAGATGAACGTGTTGGACTTCCGAGAACCATCTATACGAACGTCAGTAAACGAGTGTTGCAAATGCAACGGAAAATCATGCGTACATGGGAGGAAATGCGCGACCAAGGTGATGCTTTTGCAGCCATTCTAACCCAACGAAATTCAGGACGTTTGGTGTCAAAGAAGCAACGCTTCTTCAAAACCTGGCAACCAAATGCTGCTGAAAACGCTGGAACAGAAGACGCTGCACAATCACGCAAGTTGCTCAAATCACTTTGGCATCGGGACATATCAGCAGCCAAACTGATCATGTACAAAGGTTCATTATCTATTAATATTTCATTTGAAAATTGGAATCGACTTGGTTTTCGCTTGAATTAATTGTTATTTGTGTGCTCGTTTTCTATTTACTTAGGTCTTTGCACGCTGCTTGACATTCCGATACATCCAGCATTGCTGCGACGACCAGATGACGACGGCGTTCCACTCAATCCATAAATCAAAATCCAGCGTTTAGCATTAAAGTTTTTTTTAACAAATATTTTCTAATAGTTTATTAGAGTTCTCAAGCCTTGCACTTAGTGGGCTATTTTAAGGTTTATAAGGTGTCTAACTTTATTTACCGCAGTACAAGAGTGGTTTTATAGACGTTATTTGATGATCATTTTCCGGTTTGACAATGTCGCCGCATTCTTTGGATATGACTTGTTCAATGCATCATATCACGGTAAGTAGAATTTGTTCAACGCTTCGGAGCGAGAGTTATTTAGACATTTGAATGGAAAAGCAGACTTTTTGCTTCGGGAGGTGTGAATATCGATTGCTCCGTTGTGTGAACACCACTAATTGATACAGAATTTTTTCCTCTTTAATTTAAAATCTACCATTTTTATTTTTCAGGTTATGAAAAACACCCTAATGTATATTGCATAAACATACTTTGGATTTTTTTCCAAATTCGATTGTGTTACGGTCTTGTGATGTATATGTGTGCATTAATCGTGCTCCATCTTCCCACGGTGGCTTATTGTAAATGCCGTCAACGTCGGACATCAGTATTAATAAATCTGTTATGGTTAAAAATATACAATTGTCAGTCCGGCAAATATACAAAACCGGTTACATATGACAAATTTAAACGTAATAATACAGTCATTGTATAATGGTCATACGTTTGCGTTGGCGGCATTTATGCGTATTCAAATACAATTAACTTACCTGCCTGAATGTAAAGGTGTCAGCGGACACGGACGGTCAGAGGAAAATTGCATTTTTGTTCGACTGTCCATCCGAAGTGTCTCACTAGAAATTCGGATATCCATTCGAAGTGGCAGCCTTTTTTTCCCACCAAGCCGAACGAACCAAGTGGATTTCCGATCTCTATGAAAGCACTTCGACCAGCCGTGTTTTTCTCGGACGCCCGGGGTTTCTCGGCCGTTCGAACTCCAGAATGTACACACAGCGAACTGATGGTGTGTTTTGACATTACAAAACAAATGAACGAAATTGGTGGTGAAATATCTAAACACCATCAGCGTAGCAGTAAAACACGATGTCTAGCTGTGTGGAATTAAAAAAATATTCGTCGTGACGGACTTCAATATATTCCCGGTCCCACACACAAATGGTGTTACGATTTGAGAACATCATTTATTCTTCATCCATTGGCTAAGATGAAACTTTTTTTAAACATCGACTGATTTTTGGATTCTTCAGATTGTTGATTTTCTTTCTTGATTGCTTAGATTTTCCTGTTGATTTTTCTTATGATTTTCTTGATTTTCACTGCGCCAAGCAGAATCGAGAAAAAAAAAATTAACAGGAAAATCTGAAAAATCGAAAAAATCTACTGGTATTTAAAAACAGTTCCATCTCGAATTCCATCATCCCAATGAAGAATAAATTGAGTTCGGGATTTATAAAAAGTTGGATCCAAAAGGTAACGTTATTACCATTAAAATGATAAAATTTAGCGAAGAAAATAAGCATAAATGTTGGAATTTGTCAGACCAAATAATCTTTTTAATTACATTTCGGAGTTCGAACGGCCGAGGATTCTCGAACGTGCAAGAAACACACGGCTGTTCGAAGTGCCTCCATAGAGTTTGGACATCCAATTGGTTCCGGTCGTCTGAAAAAAAAAGTTCGGCTACTTCGAACGGACGTCCGATCTTCTCGTGAGGCACTTCGGATGGACGGTCGAACAAAATTTTGTCCGTTGACACCATTACCTGAATATTCGCCGCAAGTAAAGCCGATAAGCTGTCATTATCCCTTATTTGAATTCCCTGTATTTGATATAAAAAATAAACCAAAACCATGAAAACAATTATGTATTGGGTGTATAACTTTGCTTCCGCCGTTTTTCTTCAATTTTTGAGGCTTTATTGTGAAAAATTTGTACAATATAATTTATTCAAAGTACTGTCCATCGGAAGCTATGACTTTTCCCCACAATTCAGGCAATTTATGGATTCCGTCCCAAAAAAACTGTGTCGGCTTGGCGGCCAAAAAGGAATCAAGCCAATTTTTGACTTTTTTGAAAACAAGTGAACCGTCGTCCACTTAGGTGATATTGAATCGACTGAAACCAGTGGTAGTAAGAAAGCGCAATGTCTGGAGATTACAGCGGGGGCATAAGGGATTTTCAAAATTAAGAGCTTCTCAGAAATTTTGGATTTGATAGCTAAAAAGTCATTAAAAAAATTTCCTCAAAAATTCGCTTTTTTGCGGCGATAAGTCAATTTTTCGATTTTGCTGTCAGAAATTGGTATATACCGATTAGTTTCTAATGGGAACGATAAAAGCTAACATTTTGATAAGTTTCTACCACCATTCAATGCACCATATCTGCCCCACCCCCGCAAATATGGAAAATCACCCTTTTTCGAGGGAGTGATTGTGGCGCCCCCTATAATGACAAGTAATCACGATCAAAATGTGGTTTGATATGCTTGTGTCCATCGAGAAACGTCCATTCTTCACTACCAGTGTCCACTCGATAAAAGAATAATCTATTTTTCACATTTTTCCCGTATGAAAAAACTGCTCCCGCAAATGCTGTTTTTTTGGCACGAACTCGGACATTTTTGAGCACAATAAAATTTATGATGCAGATAAAAATGTACAAATGTGATGATGCAGAATTGTTGACAGATGCCCAAGCTTACCGTATGACGTTTTAGAGCTGATATTTTTCACCAGCACTTACCGCTGGAGCCATCTGTTGGAAAACGGCGGAAGCAAAGTTATACACCCAATATTACAATGAAATTAACTCGAAAACCGTTATCAAACTTAATTCCTTTTTTTGGACTTTTTTCGCAGTGTATTTTGTATGGAAATTTTAATTTGTTTTATTCCGAGGTAATCAGAGCTCCTGAAGGTACTCAGAGAAAATTTAGCGGAACAATGATTCCGATTTATCGGTATTAAAACCAATCGGAACGATTGACGACACGCAGCTACTATAGACCATAAAGGTCTATTCACAATGCCAACGGCATTACATAGCATATTACACAACCAAAATTTTTAATAAGTAATTTGGATTGAAGAATACCGATAAATCGGAATCTCGGAACATTTATTCCGATTGGTTTTTATACCGATAAATCGGAATCATTGTTCCGCTAAGTTTTCTCTGAGTAGTGCCGCGAGTTCTTTTTTCGGGGTAAGTATTAAGCTTATGAAGTTATATAACACAGTTCAACACATAATGGAGGGACTCACTTTTGATAATCGCTGCTGAAAGTACTTACCAAAACTAGAATTTCTGCATCATTTGTTTTGCCAAGTTGGTTCATTATTATTATTCTGCACCATACAGCGGTTCATTGGTGAATTTTAATGAAATTATGTATTTTTTACTCAAACTGGATTTTGAGCACTTTTTCGATATTTTAGACGGCAATATCTCAGTAAACCGTAAGGAATATTGCTTTTGTGTCTTCAGCAAAGTTGTAGGTATTGAATGGGACAAAAAAAATGTAAAACAAACTTACCCAAAAAAATTCATCTATGACCTCAAAATCGCAAAAATGCCCATTTTTTACCATTTTTCAACCATAACAGGCAGCGTATCCAATTTTTTTGGTCACTATCTTCAGCTATTTTGTAGCCAACGTATAACTACACAACTTTGCTCAACATACTAACCCAGAAAAATCATGTTCTATCTACTTTTTGGCTCAAAATCACTCTTTGGTACCAAAAATGGTCATTTTGTTGTAAATTTTGGCCTATTACATGCAAATATCTGTATATCTTTCCATATTCTTCGCTTGAATTTTTGTTAAAGTGTCTTCACGGATAATGTGAACTTGTTTTCCAGCTATTTTAGTGGAAAAGTTCACTCATTTGTAGGGATATTTCGAGTTTTGGACCAATTTTTGAGCGTTTGGTGGACATTTGGCCAAATTAAGACATGACAGTGGTCATATTTCAGTTTCTTATCTATGCTATATTAAAGCTTATGTTCACAGCTGAACAATAGGACGATACGATTTACCTATGATGTCCAGTTGGAAAGTTATGACTCACCAAGTGATGAAATGTTCATTTTTTACACTATTCTGGCACTAATTATCACTTGAGCAGCCATAAGTACCCTACCAGACGACATAGGCATGTGACATTAGCCTTATTTTTCAGCTAAGAACATCAGCTTTAAAATGCCATACCGCTTGAACTGAAATATATCATCTTTCATGGTCTAATCTGCCTCAATGTACACTTATACCATAACTTTCTTACTGAACATCATAGGTAAATCGTATTGACCCTATTGTTTAGCTGTGAACATAAGCTTTAGTTTAGCATAGATTAGAAACTGAAATATGACCACTGTCACGTCTTAATTTGGCCAAATGTCCACCAAACGCTCAAAAATTGGTTCAAAACTCGAAATATCCCTACAAATGAGCGATTTTTTCCACTGAACTAGCTTAAAAACAAGTCTACATTATCCGTGAAGACACTTTAACAAAAATTCAAGCGAAGAATATGGAAAGATATACAGATATTTGCATGTAATAGGCCAAAATTTACAACAAAATGACCATTTTTGGTACCAAAGAGTGATTTTGAGCCAAAAAGTAGATAGAACATGATTTTTCTGGGTTAGTATGTTGAGCAAAGTTGTGTAGTTATACGTTGGCTACAAAATAGCTGAAGATAGTGACCATAAAAATTGGATACGCTGCGTGTTATGGTTGAAAAATGGTAAAAAATGGACATTTCTGCGATTTTGAGGCCATAGATGCATTTTTTTGGTGTCAGTTTGTTTTACATTTTTTTTTGTCCCATTCAATGCTGAAAACACACAATTCTTTGCTGAAGACACAAAAACAATATTCCCTACGGTTTACCGAGAAATAGCCTTGTGAAAATGTGGAAAAAGTGCTCAAAATCCAGTTTGAGCAAAAAATACATAATTTCATTAAAATTCACCAATGAACCAACTTATTATTTATTTATTTATTTATTTATTACGGAGCCTACATTTATGCCAATATGTGTTCCCAGCAAGCTGAGAACATGCTGGTCAGAGACCCAATACGGCATAAATTCCGCCCATGGTGCGTCTTTTGCGAAGAGAATACAGTCAGGGGAGGGATGATATAAAAGTGAGGCTTTCATACCAGAATTGGGTCCGGAAAACCAGGGTAAAACCGGCCTGATTCTGGAAAACCAGGGGAAATACAATGATAATACCAGGGGAAATACAATAGCTTGGCAAAACGAATGATGCAGAAATTCTAGTTTTGGTAAGTACTTTCAGCAGCGATTATCAAAAGTGAGTCCCTCCTCCATGACCGAAAAAATGTTGCACAGTGTAAGCTTTTGAATTAAACATGACGTGTGCGCATGTTTGTGCATATGCAATTTTCCAACTGTAGTTGGCGCTTCGGTGCCATTTATGTATATTATATTGGGTGTGTGAATACTAATTACGTCATCTGGCGGAAACGTGACATTATTAATTCACACACCCAATATATGAGAAAAAAGAAGGTATACCGTTTAAATTTCAATACATAATGTGACAATTGATAAGAATAATCACAATTATTGTTGTTTCTGTGCTATTTTGTCGACATTTGTGTGGTTTTGATGTTCAGTCATTTGTTTTTTTTTATGGAAATGCTTTGATATGAGCATAAATCTGATCCAGATTCGATTCTGACTGCACTCAAATTATTATATGAGTCGTTTGGAGCGAAAATGTAATACAGAAAATTTGCTCGGAAAAATGTCGATGATGAATGAGCGGAAAAGGGATAGCTATATATATATACTGTATACAGTAAACTATAGTGAACTATATAGCTATCTCTTTTTCAATCATTTCGTCGAAAACTCTTTCTCGGTAAATGAGTCAATTTTTTCGCCCGAAAAAAGTAATAAGTAATAAGATGATAAACTCCACTGCCCCCTCGACAGTGTGACAATCGGCCGTTCGCAAGACACCAATAGGCGTACGCGACGAATCATTCTGATTCCCCGAATTTATTCAAAATCCAAAAGATAATCTTATTACTTTTATGGATTTTTTTATTTCAACTAGCTGACCAACAAAAATAAAGCACGATGGAGATTTTGGCGGTGACATACAATGTATTCGGTCGCACTAATGGCAACTATTACGTGAACGAGGAAATATTCGCAAAACAAATTGTATCCATAAATCATGTCTTGTTTAAAGTTAATGACAAAGGTTGGGCCTAAATACGATTTCTCAAAGATGTGAATTAAAACGAGAAAGCTTTAGAATTGAAAATGTAAAGGCATACGGGAATAGGAACACGCTGATTATCAGTATTATTTTCACCATATTCAAATGTTGAATCATGACAAACATAAATATTAAGCAATTTACTACCGTAATATTTTTTTTGATGATTTAATGGTGCTAAATGGAGAATGAATACTGATATATGTAACCACAAAAAAGATTTTGTTTTTGCGTTTCATTTCCATTTTGATGTAGAAATAGATCTTTTTGCATTTTTATGACATGTTTTTCCTATAGAAAGAAAACCAGAGTTTGACTCAGGCGACAGATATATGCTTTAGCATAGAAAAAATATCCGCATATTTTTTGGTTTGTCCACTTTCAGTATATAACGGCACCCAGCTTCATCGAGTATCAGCACGCACACTGAACGTGGTAGTATAGGACGGTTTGTTTACGAAGAAAAAAATTGTTTATAAACAAAATCTACCAGAACTATACAGCGCAAAACCTTAACCTCGGGAAGATTTTGTTTATAAACAATTTTTCTTTCTTTGTAAACAAACCGTTCTATAATCTATATTACTACGTTCAGTGTGCGTGCTGATACTCGATGAAGCTGGGTGCCGTTATATACTGAGAGTGGACAAACCAAAAAATATGCGGATATTTTTTCTATGCTAAAGCATATATCTGTCGCCTGAGTCAAACTCTGAAGAAAACCATAAATAAAATTGTGGTGTTTTTCTTCTGACATATCAGAAACCCATAAGTAGAAGCTAGGAATAAATTCGAGCATTGAATAAAAATATGACAAAAAATTATAAAAAATACCTTTTTAGTGCCTTTTGCACCAGGTGCCACATCATCATGTTCCACAAACATCGGTGGTGACACAGCATCATTTGTATTTATAATTGGCACAATGTTCAAGCTAATCAATTCAGAAAGAGTGCAGAATAGATTTTTCCTGGTGTTTTCATTATAGAAATCTGGTTTCGTCACAAGAACCTAAACAAATTAACAGGAAGAATGGAATATTGTTTTATTTGATTGAATTCACAAATAAAGTGGTTGGTAGAAAGTGTTGTAAAACACTTATTTTCCGCAAATCGGTTAGAATGATATGACATTATCGAATAATAATCATATAATGCGGTACGTGAAGGATCAGAGATTACTATGGGATATTTTTTATTCATATGGGGTGTCAACACAATGTCTGTGTGTGTATCGCTTCTGTCGTCGTTTGCAAACGACGTCAATGCGCTGCGCGATGCATGCATTTAAATGTTCCGCTCCTTTCTTTCGACCGACACTCTTCGTACCCAGCTCATTGACGTCGTTTACAAACGACGGCACAAGCGATACACACACATACATTGTGTTGACACACGAAGAGTGTTCAAAGAAAGAAGTGAGAACATGTGCATGCACACTCCGCGCAGCTCATCGTAAGTGTGAAGAGTATAACGAAAAAATAGCGACTTTGTGTGTGCAGAATCGCTATTGTGTATTTATGCGTTTCGCTGAACACAACGCGCGAAAAATATTAGATATTTTTGAATTCTGAACATTGAACGCGTTGAACGTTGAACGCAACGCGTGAAAAATATCTGTTATTTTTATGCGATATTTTTATCCCATATGAATAAAAATATTATAATAATCTCTGCGAAGGATAAAATGTGCTTGAAAATATTAATGGGAACAAGCCGTGTAAGGATAACATTAGTGA